AGGAGGTGGGGTGGGTTGGTGAGGGTTGAGAAGGAGTTTTGGAAAATGTTTTCCTTTTCTTGATAAGGAAAATGAATTCATAATTCAAATATTTTCCAAAAAATATTTTTCTTCATGCCAAACACATCCTTAAAGTGAAAAAAGAATGTCTAGATTCAAATACTACTAAATTTAAGAAACAAAGTCAAAGCAATACATAACAAATATGAATAAACTTATATGCAAAGACACAAGCAATACCTACATGTACCCAATTATTCCATAGTTTGGCATATTCCATACGACCACAGCTGACAAACAGGTTCCTAATCTTATCTGAGAACTAGTGAATTCATCCCTGCGACGGTAAGAGAAGAACTAATTATCTTTTTCTAACGTACGAATTAAAATAATTAGTTTTTTAAAATTAGTTTTTTAAATTCAAATATGTAGTTTAGTTTCAAGTCTTAGGGTGTGTTTGGTATAACGGAAAATATTTTCCGTGGAAAATAAGTAGTAATCTTATTTATTTTTTGGTGTTTGTTATGCAAATTAAGGAAAATGACTTCTCAAGAATATTCATAAATAATTTAAATATAATAAACATGAAGCCATAAACTTTCAAACCAACCTTCCGAACCCACAAATTTCATAAACTTTCGAACCGCTAAACTTTTGAAACCGCGGAATTTCGAACGTACAAACTTTGTAATTTCTAAACCTATAAACTTCCAAATACATAAACCTCCAAACTCATAACTTTGGAACTTGTAAAATTTTAAACCTTTAAACCGATAAATTAAAAAATTAAAACTGAAAAATATATTTAAAAAATATTTTTTCCAGGGGGGTGGGGAAGAAAAACGAAAAAAATAGAAATTTGGAATTACAAAAAAAAAGTAAGAAAAAAAAATTGGNGGAGTTTTGCAAAATGTTTTTCCTTCTCTTGATAAGGAAAATATTTTTCTCCAATTGGAGAAAAATGAGTTCATAAGGAACATCCAAAATATTTAAGTCAACCAAACATGAGAAATTGGAAAACATTTTCCGTAAAATATTTTCCTTCGTACCAAACACACCCTTAGTGTATTTTATTATTACTCTTATCATTTATTTTTCATCACTTAAAGATTGTTAGTCTTTTAAAGTTTAAAGAAAATTGATCTCTTTATTTGAACATTTTGTTGTATATTTAGTATTTTAATATATATGTATATAAATATTTATCTCTTTAGCTTTTATTATTAAGTTAAATTTTAACACTTTCATAATTATTCAGGTGTTTACATCAAACAAACTAATTTAACTTTAGTATTTAAAAAACTAAAAAGCCGATACACATTATTTAGCTATAGTTAAGTGGTAAATGTATATAGAAAATACATGTTTTGTTTATTATTTGATATAAACACTAATTGTGTGTATGTTTTTACCAAAATTACATACCCCTCAACTTGTATTATATATAATACTTTATTGTATTATATATAATACAATAAAGTACAAACAGAGCAAACCATACATCAACATCAACCCAATAATCATCTCACTAGTGGGGTCTGGAAAATGTAGAATGTACGCAGACCTTACCCCTACCCCTTCGGGATAGAAACAGAACAAACCATAACAAAAATGAAATAGTACAATATTCCAAATCATACTTCTTTTTAAAGTCAGAAGCTAAATCATTCACTCACACCTTTATATTTGTCAACAAAAATTAGCTAAATACTATATAAAATATTCATGAAAGTGAATGTAAAGCTCGATGTATTAATAAGTGTTTTTGTATAGGTATGCACACACATGATAATAATCTAAAAATATGAAAAATTTACATATATAAATTTCTGGAATTGCAGGGAAGGGAAAACTGAAGAATTCATAATCTTTTAAGGAGCTAAGTCTAATTTCTCTGAGTTTTTCATTTGTAGGAAATTGTATTGACTTAAAACCTTTCCAACCGAGAGGTTGTGAGTTCGAGTCTCCCCAAGAGCAAGGTGGGAAGTTCTTAGAGGGAAGGATGTCGGGGGTCTATTTAAAAACAGTCTCTCTACCCTAGGGTAGGGGTAAGGTCTGCGTACACACTACCCTCCCCAGACCCCACTAAGTGGGATTATACTGAGTTGTTGTTGTTGTTAAAACCTTTCCAAACTCTACCTAAAATGATATCCAAAAGACTACTCTCTGTTATATATTTTCATATCATTCTTTTTCACGGAGGAATATAAAAGGTTGGGTAGTAAATATTTTTAGAATTTAAACTTTTTACAATATAGAATAAGAATGAAAGGAGTAGTAAATATTGAGATTGTAATATTTTTACAATAAAGAATAGGAATGACTGGAGTAGTAAATGTTGCGATTATAACTTTTTTTACAATAAAGAATAGGAATGACTGGAGTAGTAAATGTTGCGATTATAACTTTTTTTACAATAAAGAATAGGAATGAGTTGGAGCAGTAAATATTACAACATTTACTTTTACAATAAAATAAATAGGATTTTTGGCCGAAGAGAAGTGACAAGTCATCTTGTCTATGCTTGGAAGAAATTATATACTTTTTTGTCAAATTACAACAATAAAGTTCTTGAGGTAAAGTCCTCTCAATTGAGAAAGATAAGCCAACACTTAATTTGGAGAGAAAACAAATATGTTGCATAAGTCCTCTAAAGTTTTGGTTGTTCATAATAAAATATTGTAAATAATTAATATTTATTAGCGATCTGATTTATATGTAAATAGCATTTATAATTAAAGAGTTATGGTCTTCTCTCTTATATAATTACCATACCTATATGTACACAGAATTTATAATTATTATACATATATAATTTTAAAGTTGTATTTATTTGTAACTATATTTGAGACATTTGAAAAATATTTCTTAAAGAAAAAATAAATGAAAAATGAAAAAGAAGAAGAGAGAAATCAATTAGATTAAAATTGTAGAGGGATTTTCAGAATTAAGATGTGGGTAGAGTGCCATGGGTCATTTATAAAAAACCCTAAACATGTCAACACATAAAATAAAAATATAGAAGATACATATATAATTTTTTATGTGGTATTTATTTGTAACTATATTTGAGACATTTGAAAAATATTTCTTAAAGAAAAGTAAATGAAAAATGAAAGAGAGAGAGAGAGAGAAATCAATTAGATTAAAATTGTTGAGGGATTTCAGAATTAAAATATGGGTAGAGTGCAATGAGTCATTTCAAAAATAAAAAACTAAAATGTCAACATAAAAAAATTATAGAAGATAAATACTATTGATGATCAAAGAGATAGGTGTACTACTAATTTTATTTTATTTTTGGTAATTACTCTACTTTTAGAACTGCCAAATGAATAAATATTGTCCTCAATTTAAGTAATATGTTTATCAATAGGAGTTACAGACATATTACATCAAAAAGTAGAAAAAAAAGAGATGTAAATATTCTGATAACTTTTAACTAATGATGAAGAAATTAGCTATTGCTAAATCTTAATTATATCGATTATTTTGGCAATCCATTATATATGTATATCGTGTTAAAGGTGATTTCAGAACAAATATTGTATTAACACTACAATATGGAATTTATGCCTTATGGGAAGGAAACAATGAACCTCATGTAGCAAAGGTTGATATCTTATTTATTTTAAATAAACATCCTTCTAAAAAATTATACTCTTTGATTTTTATAGCCAAATATATATTTACGGTTATCTCCTACCCTTAAGCCATAAAATACTCTTTGTATTATTTTTCTCTCTCATTCTTTCAGATTTTTCTCCACCCCCTCTCTCTCTCTCAACGCCAGTCTTTCTCCATGAATGCAACCACTATTCCCCACTGATTCATCTCCATTGTCTCGTGAAATTTTCATTGTCAGTGGGCTGGGGCTCTGAATCAATGTCGAAATCAAGCCCTAAAGAGAAAGATCCACCCCATTCTGATGGTTGTTGCTTTGCAATGAAATCTGGATATGGCCACTGCAACTCTTGTCTATCACCACCTCCATTGCTGCTTTTCTTTATCTATCAAATTTGCAATTATTAACAAAAGAAGACAATCTGCTATTGAAAATAAGGAATTTCTTTCGTTTTTGCGCCAAATTTTGAGAGTTTCGAGTCAGAATCGCGGCCCTCTTGACGAGACGACATTAGGGTTGTTCTTGAACAAAAACGGTGGAGTTTAGGGCTGAGCAACTTGAAGAGTCTCTTACCTATTTTTGATTGTATTTCAATGTATCTTGTTGTATTCTATGTAATTCATTGTATTCATTGTCTATTTTCCATTGTATTTCAATGTATCCCGCTGTATTCCAAGAATGTATTCATATGTTTTTTTAATTAATATATTTTATGTATTCAGATGTATATATGTATTCAAATGTATCTGCAGTATGGATTCATATGTTTTTGCACTATAAATGACCTGCTATCATGTATTCAATGTATTTTTATGTATTTAACTATATTCAATGTAATTACATAATTTCTCTGAAGATTGCTATGTTTTTGGAGTGTTTTTAGATTGAGAATCTTTTTTTATAACTAGAAATACAAATTTTGTGTGTTATAATTGAGTTTGAGTTATATTAGGAGTCTATTATATTAATTGATTCACTTTCCGTTTAAAAACAGCTGGATAGACCATGAACTCCGCTATTTACATTACTGTATGCACAAATACATATCGTGAATATAGTCGAATACAATAATCTGTCGAGTTGTAATCTTGTGTTTCATGCCGTGAATACAGTCGAATCTAATAATCTGTCTAGTTGTAATCCCCTACTATATTCATGAATACAGTAGCTTAAATACATCGAATACACTATAAAAAAACCTGAAAACATAGCTTTAGGAAGTAATATAGTAAATGGTAGCTACAACTAGCTAATAACCACTAAACATAGCTTTGTGAAAATTTCTCTAAAATGATCAACTGATTGTGTCCAGAACTAGACAGACATACCCGATAAAATAAATCAAACCGCCATCTTATTCTCTTCTCCGCCTTCTATGCTGCTCATGACCACCACGTGAATCCACCTAATTCCACCTCCATCTACCAACTAAGGGTGAATTGTCACTAACTACTTTCGCATAGAAGGTTATATACAGTGTGACAATGAAGTTTCTAAGTTAAAAACATATTTTAACTCATACGTTAGAACCTCTTGGTGTGGCCAAAATAATGAGGAAAGAAATTAATGAAATGATAACATAAGTAGGGTATTTTTTTTTCTGCCATTTTTTCAGGAAAAACTAAGAGAAAAATGCCAAAAGAAAGAGAGAATAGATAAATAGGAATCCTAGCATTAGAGAGTGTCAAAGTTACTTTTTCTATTCCCAGCTTTATATAAATATATAGATATATCAAACGTTTAGATTCTGGTCAAACTACTCTGACTCTTTGACCAGGAAAATAAGAAACTATATATACATAAACATCGTGCTCATTTACACGCTTATCGACCAGGTTACAAATGTTTTGATGTGAACTATAATCTGCTACCAAGGATCATATTGAACTACAACATGATTTGATCACAACATATCCAGACAATTGAATTGGATATCTCGTAAAGAATACCCAAACTTATGAATAAAACTTAAGAGTATCAGTTGCTCTACCAGCTTATCAGAGATCGACATCTGAGCATGAGTACGTTCAGCCCGCTCAGGAGATAAAAGCTGCCTCTTCACTCCCCCAAGCAAAAAGAAATTAATTTGCAAGTTATTTCCAAGTACTTTTTGGTTTACCAGAATGGTTTCACTTTTTGAGATTCAATAAACCAGACGATCCATGTTCCACAATCTTCAAAGACAACTGTTCCAACAAGCATTGGCAAGAGGCGCCTATTCGTTTCATCACCATAACCTGCCGAGATGTATGCCTAGACATGGGAGGGGTGAAACACCAACACCTTACAGTTTCAAAGGAGTTGCAGCTTCCATCTCAATTAGGTATTATTAATTGAATTACTCTTGTTCACACCTTGTAACTCCATTGGGGAATTGGTTATACTACTTACTGACCCCAAGGTTTGTGAACTCAACTGAGGGCTTGCTGGACATGCTTCTGGATTGCCAGTACTCATAGGATGAATAGCCCCTGAACTCAGTTGTGGGCTGAGAGGAGTTCGTTGGTTCATCTGCTGCGGGCTGGCCTGTTGATGCTGCTGTTGCTGCTGTGGCTGCTGGGAATTTTGATTCATTTGTTGAGGGATAGTTGGATTTGATGGAGAGCCCACTGGAGGAGGTGAAACTACAGCCTGTAGAGGCAAAGCTGTCTCTTGCTGCTGTTGCTGTTGCTGCTGCTGCTGCTGCTGCAATTGCTGCTGCTGTTGTATATGTTGCTGCTGCTGTAGCTGCATTTGTTGCTGCTGTAACTGCATCTGTTGCTGCTGCTGCTGCTGCGGGTTCATGTAAAGATTCATACCTGCCATTAGCTTTGGCGGACCCATTGGACCCACTGCTGGTCGCTGCATTGGATTGATATTAGCTCGGTTTAGGGAGCTCAACATCGAAAGACCAGCAGAGCTTGGATGCATTTGTCTAATTCCCGTAATACCACCTAAACTTGACTGTGGGCTCCCCAACAAATTTGTTCGGTTTTGTGCCATTCTCAGCTTGGTTTGCATGAGCGCAGCTTGTTGCGGAGTGAGAGCCCCACTACGAAGTTGTTGGCTGATTGCGTTACTTATATTAGATGCCTGGCTCAGATTTATTGTGTTTTGAGATATACTGCCCATGCCAGCCATGGCTCCCATTGGAGCTGAAATTCCAGGTCCACCAACTCCTCTTACACCTCCCATGCCCATAACATTACCAAGACCACCAAGTGCAGCGATGTTATTGCTAATGTTCCCCATACCTACATTACCAAGGCCCATCATCATTTTCCTCTGCATTTGTGAATGCTGTGGCTGGGATTGTTGTGATTGCAACTGTTGTTGCTGCTGCTGTTGCTGTTGCTGTTGTAATAGCTGAAGTTGCATTGGGGATGCTTTGATATCCATTTGATTACCCAACTGCATGGAATTCTGGCCAACTGTATTTAACTGCGCAATTGGATTCGAAGCAAGCATTAGTTGAGATCTCTGTAACTGTGGATGCTGCTGTTGTATCAGAGGATGTTGATTCTGCTGCTGCTGTTGTTGTTGTTGCTGCTGCTGCTGCTGCCGCTGCAGAGGGGCTAATGGATCAGATTGTTGAGGTCTAGAAGGCATTGAAACCCCATTTAGGAGTCCTTGAGAGATCTGTAATGCTTGAGCATTCCCAGGAGGCAGTATTCTCTGGCCTTGCATGTTCTGGGGTGAGTTTACTGACGAATTAATACTGTTAGAGGGCCTTGCAAGCTCATTGGACAACTGACCAGAGACCCCTTCAGAGCATTGCTGCAGATCAGCTCCTGCCCCATTTGGTGGCATTCCTGGCACGTTAGTTTGATTACTTGAAGCACGATTCATGCGGATTGGTTTTGGTTGGACATGATCTTCCACAAGGTATCCTTCGCGTACCATCTGCAAACACATTGGTGAGGCAATATAAGGACAAGTAGCTGGAGCAATGTTGATCCTTAGCAATTTCTATTTTACGCAGTTAACTTACCAGTGAACTAAATTGTGCTGCAAGCAAGTCCGCAAAGTGCTGTCACAAGAAAATTTCAGGCATAAGAATCAGAAATGCATGAGAGTACTGTAAATTTCTTCCACTGGCATCCCAATTTAAAATGGTTGAAACAAATGAAAGACGACTCTTTAGAAGCTACCATGAGCTCTCCAGTTCTCCATGTTTCAGATACACCTTACCATATCCACGAATTGATGTCTCTTGAGCATCTCGTAAAATTACACCTAGTTATTTCTGTTACTCGCTTTACTAAGACTTTGCTTAGAGAAATCCAATTAAATGTCTAAAATCCAGAATTCATCTGTCGTGAACATCATCAAAGATCGATAAATGCGTATGAAAGGCAATTGTCATTAAATATTTGATCAACTGATCCTAAGATTTGATTAATAAATGTCAGTATTTCAGGATACCTCGCCTTATGAGATACTTGGAAGGTTATACACCATAGTTCAATTCAAACCTGATCAGCATGACGAAATTTCTACTCAACCTAGCTGCTATAGCAAGATAGCTTGAACAACTATAAGTTCTAGCTCAATATGACCTTTTCTAATTAAAACAAAGCTGAAAGGGTTACAATATCTAACTGACTGTATATTTTTGCCTTCATTTAAATTAAATATGTCACTGATGCTGAAACAATGATAGATTTTATTAGTTCCTGCCCAACTAGAAGGGACAACACTCTTGCTTTTCTGATGTAAATACCAGCATACCATCTTAGTGCTGGTTTGATCAAAGTATCCAACTGCTAGCCTTGAATAGATTCAAGCCAAATTTAATGAGTTCCAATGAGTATTGGACAGATTTGCAACATTAAGATTGGCACATGCTAGCAGAAATGGAATTTGAAAGTTCCACCATATTGGAAGCTAGATCAGGAGTTATGGACTGCTTATCATTCTTCCACTTCACTTTTCAGGGTTTCCATATAGCTTTTACAACAACAACAAACCCAGGTTGATCCCACATGTGGGGTCTGGAGAGGGTAGTCTGTACGTAGACCTTACCCCCACCTAATGCAGGTAGAGAGGCTGTTTCCAATTTTTCATATAGCTTTGAAATTTTAAATTCAGCTCACAACAGCTGGCTTTAGAACGGAAACTCATCCTACTTGATTAAGTAATACGAGTGGACAACACAAGAGGAGGGTATCCAGTCTGTGCCATAAAAAACAAATAGTGTGCTCAGAACTCACCGTATTCGGCAGTGTTGGGAGGTAATCCTCAGCAGTAAAGTATTCAGCATCTTCTATTTCTCCAATATGCATTGCCACAGTGCCGTCATTCGGCTTTTCTGACATGATCATTCTGGTCCGCACCTTAGGAACATATGAAAAACCATTTCCTAGTAGATAACATCAAGCAGTCAAAGTCAGTTACAAATAAAGCAAATGATACAGACAGAGAGTGGATTAAGACAGACCTTGAAGTATGCGCTCTGTCTGCAGAAAAGTCAAGACTCTTGTTTTGCAAACATTCGTACTGCCACCTACTAGTGATTTTGACAATGACATTTTGGAAGATTCATCCTTGACATTCTCATTGTTTGAATCATTGGAAAGATGAGTTAGCAGCTGTTGAGTAGGAAAGGCATTTGGCTTCCTGCTAGAGTACTCCTCGACCTTACTCTTTTTGGGATTAAGTTGAAACCTGAAATTCAGAGACTTAAGCCTTTGAAGATTTTCAATAAGAGTAAATATCGTGCTTTAGGCACAGTGGCTAAGAAAATTACATAGTTAAAAACGCAAGCTGATAAATAAGAAGATATACATTACATCTGAAGTAAAAGATTACTTTATTTGACTTGAATAAGCAAGGGGTTTTAAAGAACTAATTGAGAGAGAGAGAGAGAGGCAGGGGTGATATGTGAAGTTGTAAGTCATCACTCCAACCAGAGCTCTATGTACAAGTTTTTATCAACACCAATTAAGTAATACAGATATAAATTCAGATGTCAGCATTGGATGCCTTTTGCAACACATTTCAGGCATAATCGTTGGGCTAGAGGCAGATATTTGGGTTTAGCTAAAACTTAAAGGGTGCAAGAAGAAAGCAGTGAAGAAACCAAAAGGGCAACTTAAGCTGTAAAATAGAAAAGTTAAAGAGCATGATCAATTTTATCCCAAAAGAAAAACCATGATCATTACTGTAGGAATGACAGAGAAAGACAAAACAGAGACCAGGAAAAAAGATTTAGTTATCCCTCCATCCCATGTTTTGTCTTGTCCGTATTTTGGACCATATCAAAGTGATCAGATAATTTACATCAAATCTGCACTGTATAGCACGATAATGAATTTGAAAAAGCAGCAAGAGTCCAACTCGGCAGAATAGGGACCATGTTTCTTTTCGAGCCTTGTCATCTTTGTGCATTCACATGATGGTATTTTGCATAATTTGCAAGAAACCGGGCAAAGAGTTTAAAATTTTACTTAATTCGGTCTCAATTATTCTCCTCCAGTTGTCGTTCAAGAAATAGGGAACATGACAAAGCAGCTGTTAACTCTACCTTTTTTTCAACATAAACCTTTGATTACGTTTTTACATTCTCGTACAAGTATAGCATATGTGAGGTTTAGCAGAAAATTTTATGAATATCAGAGCAGCCACTCTTCTAGTTCCACACCCCCCAAACCCACCCCCACACACATGCACATACACACTCTTCTCGTCTACCAGTAACCTTGTTTGTCCCACATAAGACAGCTTCTGTTGTTATAAGTATGGCACTTCTAGACCAGAGATATTGAACCAATCAGCTCCTTATAAGGATGGAATACAGTCACAGATGACTATTTTGAATAAACCAATTACCAAAAGGTAACACATGCATGCGGAGTGGTGTGTCCTCTGACCCAAGATGACACAATTTACGTGCTCTATTGAACATAATAAACTTGCGCTGATTCAAAGAGACAGCTAATTTAAATGGTCACAAAAATGTCCCAAAACATACCTAGTTGTCAACATTTCAATTTTGGAGAACCTTTCAAGCATGATTTGGTCAGCTGAATGTGCAGATCCTACAGGAGGACTGCTTGCATTTATTGGAAGACTCATGGTACTGACACTGGCAGGAGAACCAACTCCACTCATCATGGGGGTCTTAGGAACAGAATTGGATCTCCGTTTTGCAGCCATTTGAGCCTGGTGTTGCCGCTGCATGGAATCATTGGCGCTAGAAGTCATAGATGTTGTGCCACCAGCAGGAGCAGCAGATGTGGCTGCTTGCTTCTCCTTCAGTGATTGTATTAGTCCACTAGTCACAGCAGCACCATACTGAGCTCCTATTGAACCATTAGAAAACTCTCCAGACTTGGACGATAAAGGAGATTGAGGCAAACCTCCTGCAGAAACACGAGGACTTTGCACTAATTTCCTGTTCTGGAATGGATCCTCTTTCCGGAGACTATTTTCAAGAGGCTGACCGAGGCCATTCCAGGGTGCCTGAGGGAAGCCAGATCGTATAAACTGCTGAGGCAGTCTCTGCTGAAGTCGGGCCTGCTGGGAAACCATAAGGTTCATATCCGATTCCACCACCTGCATCTCATTTTTAGTCCTTCCTGGCTCCAATTTGTCCAATCTCTCTACCTCAGCAGGCTCTTCCTTTAAGTTATACTTTATTCCTTGCTGTCCTGCAGTGAATGGCATTGTTCCAGCTTCCTGGTTCAGACCCACTTCAAACATCTGTTGCTGATACTTTTGCATGCTTGTATTAGCATATGGAATTCCCCTGGGAACTGAATGCTGCTGTAATAAAGGATTCTTCCAGTGCAAATCTGGAGCCTGAGAGCCATCTATTTGTCCTCCTACAAGTTGCTGTTGATTGGAATCAGCACTCATATGTGTAAACCTTGCCCTCTTATTTAAGGACAGAGGAGAAGCTTGGCCATCATGATTCTCTCTCTTACCATGTAAAGAAGCAGCACCAGAGCTCATAGCATCCGTATATGAGAGCATCATGTCTGGCCCAGCAGGAGAAGCTGCCGATGCATTTAAAACTCCTGACCTATGGTCCTGCATGATTCTTGGACTCAAAACCCCCATTTGATACTTTGCTTGGTGCGATACGGAAGGCGATGCTGGAATAGAGGCCTCAGACCCAAAACTGTTACTTCTTAGTGCCACCATATTGCTTGGTCCATTATTTTGTGGGTTCAGATTCTCATGAGCAGGCTGCGACACAAGCTGTCCACCATCTCCTGACCTTGAACTTTCGGGCACTCTATCTATGCAAACATTTTTCCCATGGATTTTATCATTAGATGTGGCAATAACATCTGGAAGCTGCCTTAGTCTTCTCCTCCTTAAATTGCCTATACCCAACGTTAACTGCAAACAGTACACAGCACAGTTTACATATATGAGCTCCTTTTACCACATGAAGATGGATAAAAGCACACTACCTTTGAGGAGGCTGGGTTGTTGCAGAGCCTGTCTAACTTTGGGGCTGGGTCCAAGCAAAGTTGTGGTTGTAGGGCTCTTAATAACCGGGATTCCATTTCCTACAGTATAAATAAATATTCTCTAAAATACAAACCATTTGAATGCCACTAAGAAGAGTCGATCTTACTAACCATCATATCACCATATGTCCAAGCACTATCTGAAATCAGCGGAATGTCCTTCACCACATTTTCAAGAGACATTTTTAGACAAATTCTGTTAATAATGGGACAACCAGTGGCTGAAGGCACATTTTGTCCAGCTTCAGAAAAGCACTTCCGATAATCTCGCACCTGCAATAGTAATCCCATCTCTAATTAAGAAATGAAAGACTACCCTAAATCTTTGTGTAAGTGATAGGGAAAGGGACAGAGAGCGTCACTTCAGAAGGAAAAAGGGCTGCCGGGTGCACTAAGCTCCCGCTATGCGCGGGGTCCGGGGAAGGGCCGGACTATAAAGGTCTGTTGTACGCAGCCTTACCCTGCATTTCTGCAAGAGGCTGTTTCCACGGTCACTTCAGAAGAAGAAGAAAGAAAATGTAGAAGGTAACAAAGTTTAAGTCTTCAGTAGGAAAAAGACGATGATGAAGTACAATAACCAATTCTATAGTGAAAACCGCCAAACCAGTAAATTGAAGACTTCTATTTTCGAGGTAAAAAGATAAAGTCAAGGACAAAGCTGAGTGATTGGCATCCAGTTAAAAGAGAGTGTTCTGTTTTAATCTCTTCCCTTAAAGTAAAGATGCAGAATTAGAAGTTCTGAACCCATAATCTAATACTCCCTCTCCCATTTATACGACACAAATAATACTTGGGGAGTAATAACTTTTTATTTTATAAGGATAATTTTAAATGTGCCAGAATATTTTAAATATACAACACTATGATTTATAATATCTTTTATGCATTACCAAATATGTAACTATATTTCAAAAGAATTGAAAAATCGATGTCCTAATCCAAACTGAATATTAGATGCTTTAACTCTTGCACTCCAATTCCCTCATTCATTTTGTGAGGGAGGGAGCATTATTTCATAAGAACAAGCTGGTCTACTAGCATCTCTTAAATCTTATAGGAGATATAATCAAAGTTGCTCTTCTGGAACCAGAAACCTTACCTCGCAGACTAGGGTCCCATCAACAAACTTGCGAGGTATATCCTCCGGAATATCACTGGGCAGATGTCCAGACTCAATTGCCTCCACGTGCACAAATATACAAAATAAAATATTAGATAACAAAACTAGACCGAACTTTGTAAAAGCCGGTTATCATTTATGTAACCACAAACTTGGTTTCTTCAGGAAGAGTGAAGCGAAGTCCCTCCTCGAAAGGAAAAGAGTGACAAACGGAATGGCTTTGATATTGGTAAGCATTCCCAAAAGAAAGTGGCTTTCACTCCTCCAGTTTAATTAAATATTGACTCGACTTATTATTACAAAAGCTAATTACAATCCAAATGAAAGACGACCAAACCACAAAGTTTTTGCAGATCAAAAGTACATAGGCAGAAAAGTTCCACTCAAAAATGAACATTACGTTTCTGTCTCTCAATCATACTAGAATTGCAGGAAAATAAACTACTGTTTGCTAATAGCTAAACAGCTGTGACTAAGCACTAACTGAAGAACAAAATTTTACAAGCTCCCCAAGGGAAGACAAGAGGATATGGAGGAAGTCGGGTGCTAAATACATGGAATTAATAGAAGCCACGGAGAAGAGATAGGTGCTGACTGTTATTTTTGGATACCACCACAGAGAGCAGTTCTTTTTCACTTGGTAGTGCAGTGCAGGATGCGACCTTAGTGGCGCATAATCTAAGGAAGAGGAAGCAAATCATTTGTAAAGACAAAGAGTGGACACCAACTACAGGTCCATGGGAGCCTTACATCACGGATACGGACCCCGGGCTTTTCTCTTGGTGCTACTAAAGACAGGCATTGGAGGTTACCAATGTATGCAGTTCGGAGAACAGCCATTGTGTCTCTTTTGACATATTTGGGATGAGTAGAAAGTTGTCTCGTGCGAGTAAATTAAGAATAAAAATATCATAGTTTCAGTTATATATTTGGTGTAAAGAGAGAATTGCTTTGGTATAGTAGTTGGAAGAACTTGATAGATGATTGTGGTTGAACAACAATCCCAATTTGTACAGATTTTACAGACTATCTTCTTTTGCTATTGATGCAATTAATTGTTAAAAAAGAGTTCGGGACGAAGCAACAGATTATCCACACACCCAGAGATAGAGAGAGATAAGAAAAAAAGAGAAAAAGAAAGCTGACAGTACACTTACTGAAAAGAGAGTTTCAGATGCTCTATCATATGGATGCAATAATTTCGGAACATTTTCAGAGACTTGATGCCCATAATCATTCTGCAATCAAGAAGGAAGACATAAGACTCTCAGCCAAAAAGCCAGACAACCACTATATTGCCACTATAGGATGATTAATAACAAACCTCGGAGGGCTTCCCAAAAGAATATCCATCCAGGAAAAGGCACAATGAAAAGGAAACTTCATTATCTGCTCATATAACACAATAAGCACAGCTGAACACTGAGAAATGCATTTACTTTTGACATAAAGATATGAAAAATGGTAAGATAACGGGAGAATGGATGGAGTCACTTGTCCTCCCAATATACATGAAGTCTTTCACAAGATCTTCACTTACCAGGGACTCCGGTAACATCCTTGCTCCCATGAACAACGTCACCCTGTGGCAGACGAGGATGTTATCAGTGAAATAAGAAATTTGAGAGATTTTTCAAAAGAAACATAATCTACAATGATTGAACAGAATATCACAAAAATTATTTGTGTCCCTCAATCTTTATCAAGTTTATGAATGCTCCCTCTATCCCCAAGTGACAAACAATACACAGATTCATCTATCTTTCACTCACCAAAATGATTGTCATAAAAAAGAAAAAGACATTTAGTTGCATGATCTATAGATATCCCATTTCATCCCCTCCACTAAGTAGAGATAAATATGAGATGCCATGGTCCATAACTGATAATTGGCCATTTCATTGCTACATAGCCCAAGGAAAAGGGATTATCTGTGTCAAGAAAGATCCTTTTTTTATGAAGCAAGAAAGATCCTTTTTTCCTGGGGTGTTTACGAGGATTGGGGATAACAACACGTCCTCAAAAGAAAAGGAGAAAAAATCTAAAAACTAAAGCTCCTATACCAAGAGCTCCCCTAGTGAAAATGAGTCAAGCAACTGTCTATTAGGGAATAACCATTTGCAGCAAGCTGACAACTAGGTTCTCTCACTAAACCACATTTTAGAACTCCAACTTGATCTTGCTAAAAGTTTGGTATCATTTATGTGCTTTCATTATTAAATTTCATTACTTAGGAGCAGGGTTGTAAAAAGCGAGCGCTTCCTCGCTTAAAGCGAGAAGTGAAGCGAGGCGAGGTATCTGGCGCTTCTATTAGCTGAAGCGTAGCAGATTTACAAAAGCGCTCGCTTCCACTGAAAAAGCGAGAAGCGATGAAGCGATGCGAAGCGTAAGAACTAAGAAGCGAGCGCTTCTCTTTAAAACTGGGCTGCCAACATATTTAATTAAAAGAGCTGTCTTTTTTTAAAAACACCATCGAGCAGCAGCAACAGAGAAAGAAAGAGGCGACCTAGGGTTCAAGTTTTCTACACTTTTCAACTTCAAGATCATCAAGTTTGGCCCCAGGCATGTGATGATTTCTTCTTCTTCTTCTTCCTCCTCCTCCTCCTCTTCCTTCTTTTTCTTTCACTGTTTCAGCATCCAAATAGCAGCGAAATGCTGGCGAATTTTTTTTCCCCTTCAGTTCTTCTTTCTCATTCTTTTCCTCTTCTTCTTCTTCATTTTCTTACACTGTTTCAGTGATAAAAAGATTGAAATGCTGCCTATTTTTTCGTTTTAGTTATACTGCCCTTCTTCGTATACTTACTGCATTTTTTTCATATCCTTTATCCTTTGTCCCTAGTTGAAGAAGAAGAAGTTGAAGAAGATGACGAGCAATAGAATAATGATAGTGGAATACAAGAATTTGACAATATTGTAGAAGAATAGGATGCTCATTTGTGTTTTAATTGATGCTACTTTTTAGTTTTTACATTGAAGTATTGACATTTGCTTACAGTTACATGTGCTGCCTATGCAGTATTTATTTTAATATTTTTTTTTTCAATTCCGCTTCACTTCAAAAAAGCGAGCGCTTCGCTTCTTGCTTCTAGCTTTAAGAGATTCTTGCTTCTAGCTTTAAGAGAAAAGGGGCTTGTTGCTTTTCCTCGCTTCACGCTCTTCACAACACTGCTTAGGAGTCCCATTTACCTTTATTGCATGTGCATTCACGCTTTTAGGTTTTCTACAGTCTCCAAATCAACTGTAGACGAGATACACGAGATACACGAGATAAAGTTTAGGAAATTCTAACTATACTCTTTGAGCTAGTCTAGTTTGCTATAAGAAAACTAATCCTGATATAAATTGTGCATTATTACTACATGGGAAAGAATGTGAAATAAAAATTTTGTATTAGTATTCACCGTAATATTATTTACAGTATAATAACCCATGTATTACGATCCCAGCATAACTAGTCCAGGAACCAAATGTCCCCTTTATATTTTACTTCCCTAGATAGTCACATACTGTTCAGAAGTCATTCATGGTTTTACAATGAAATAAATAGGGTGGGATGGATCATAAAGAAAATTATGGAAATCGCAAAAGTGAGTTCAAGTGCAACTCATTTCAATTTTTTTTTTTTTTTTGCCAGAAGATATTAGAGGGTAAATTCTAAAATAATAACAGAATTGAGTGCTATAGCAACAGTAAAAGAAGCACAAATTGGGAGTGCAATATCCAATTACAGAACATGTGAATAAGAAAATTACCGAAAGCTTTCCAGCAGATGCGGAATTGGATTCATTTTGTGGAAGAACAGAATTCCTTCCTTTGGTAGCTTCAAAAGCGACGTCGTCTTCTTCAGCAGACGCTGAGGTCTCGGGCTGTATTGGTTTGGGCCGGAACCTTGAACCGGTTTTGGAGACCTTAAACGAAATCCCCATTGCCGGAATTTTACAACCCCGACTGATCCGACGTCGGAGACTTGACGAAAAATTATATGATTAAATTAAAAAAGCTTCAAATTAAGTCAGTGGATGAAGTAATCTCTTGTGTATTGGGCATAATAACAAGCACAGAGCTGATGCAGAGACCAATTGGGGAGGACCTGAGTCGGGACGTTTTGGGAGTTCCTTCTGTTTAGTTTTGGCAAAAGAAGAACATGAGAATTGAGAACTGAAAAGGAAGCCCAGGTTGAAGTTCATGATCCAATTCTTTGGTAGTTTAGGCCCAAATTAGTATTGGGCTCTTGGGCTGGTATTGACCCGAAAGGTCTTGCGGATAGTCCATTCCCTTTATATTTATCTTACTTAGAAGGTGTAGTGCTATATTCTGGCCCGGGCCTGGGCTCTGGCGGTCCCGGGCTTCGTGGGCTCAATGGGTGGAACCGGCCCGTGACGGGCCTAAGCCCACATGGTCTTGTGCTTAACGGGCCGGGCTCGTGGGCTTCGCGGGCCTAGTAGGGGTTTTTTTTTAAAGGCAATTTCTTGTAGTATCATGGCTATATTAAAAATATATATGTAGTA